ATCTAATAACAAGACAAAATCCATTTTTCATAACATTTCATTCAATAATGAAATAGGAAATTCATTCTTTTTATACATTTATATTGTTATTGAATTCATATATATTGAATTCAAATATTTGGAAGCAAACGTGCGATTTTTATTATTTTTTAAGGAGAAATGGGGTAATGGAATGGCACATTCTGCATTTTTTCAACAAAAAAAGGATCAAGCCTGTTTATTTTAAAATTTATTTTACACCCCTCCCCCTTTTCCGTTTTTCCCCAAATAAAAATCAAATGTTAGCTTGCTTACTTCTGAAATCTTTTTCATATATTATTTACTTGCGAAGTTGCATTTAAAAAGTCTCAAATGTGTACGACATTCATCTTTTACTTGGCATGGTTCTTTTTGATAAAATTGTTAGATTCTTGAATTTCACGAGAAAAAAACTCTCGGCTGAAGGGAAGTGAAAAAAAAAAGTTTGTTTAAACTGTAACTTACATTAACTGGTATGTGGCCATTTAAGTTTCTAATCTCTGATCTGTTTAATTTTGCTACCTCTTCTAAATGCAAAATGTACTACTTCTTTCTTGAAACGTCGTACAAGTCAGATACAAAACAAAGGTAACAAAAAAACAGGCCGGTAACAAACTGCCGTATAGTTCTTCTGCACTTGTAGTCAGGTCAAGGTCCTCGGCTATCGCCTCGGACCTTCACCTGACTACTCGTGCAGAAAAACTATCCGGCAACGGTTGTTACCGGCCTGTTTCTTTGTTACCTTTGTATTGTATCTCATACATAGCGTATTTTTAAATAATCAAAATACATATAAACATTTGTATACAGCAAATGTTACAAATTATAATTTTAAATCAGTCTGCTATGTTTAAAGAGGGGCCTGATGGGTTATTTTCGTTCTTCGTGATCGGCGCATTTTCGCTATCGTGATCCGTTTTTCTAACAGATTTTTTTTTTTATATTTTCGTGATCCGTGATCATGGAAATTTATTTTCTGTGAATCGTGATTGACAAAAAAAATCAACTCGTGAATCGTGATGAGACCCCCCCCTCCCCCATAAGGCCCCTCTTTAATGTTCAAACAATATTTCTTCCATCTTCAAATAAAAAAGAATGTACCTAAGGTTGTGAAAACACTTGAAAGAAATTGTATGATCAAAATAACATATAGCTTTAAAAGTATGATACTAAAACTAGAACTTAAATATACTATTCAAAATGATACATCCGGGATATTTCTAGGTGTAATTAAAGATGCTTTTACGACATGAGTACAGGACTGATACGACAGGAACGCTTGATATGTCTACATCTATGCAAATGATCAATCAATATCTATTGTTTACATTCCTAATTTTTATCTTATACGGTAATATACAAATTTTAATGGATTCATGTTCTGCATGATGAGAATGATAAATGTTCAAATCGTTCTGTGTGGAAGGATCTTCTTTTAAAAAATCATCTTTACTCAAACGTCAATTCTACTGTATATATCGAATTTTCCGATACATGGCACTCGACTGTTTTATTAACTGATTTTTTTGGAATTTTTAATCGCAAAAACGGCAGAGTTATCAATTAAAAATAGCAAAACTAAGAAAAAAAACCAATAAAAACCATCAATAAATGTTAAGGCAGAGTCAAAATTTATGAATTAGAAAAACAGGAAAAAAGTAGTATAGTGAAAATAGCTCCCGAGACAAAGTCTTACATTGTTTTATCTGGTAAAGTACTATTATTCGATTGTTATAGAAAGGGAGTCTTAAGTGTTAAATCAGGATAATGAGTCAGAGTGCAAAATTTTCCAAATTATGTCTTTAAGTTGCACTTAAAACACCAATTTGATGAGCTCAAAATTTGTCCTATGACATAAAATTTTACCCTGGTGTATATCTTCAAAGTACACACGTAAAAAGATCAAATCAACACAGGGCGTTTTGTCAATTTTACAAAGGAAGGTCTCTCTTTGAAATAAATGAATACATTTTACATATGATAAGTTTAATCACATTGGTATTTGTGTTTCAAATACCCGAATGCGATCATTCTACTGCCTTTAATACTTCATCGTGAATATTCCATATAGTTTAATTTCACAAATCTAACAATCAGCGCTTTTAACAATGATTCAGGGTATGCATATCTAATTTTAATGTGAACAAAATTTTTGAGAAATACCATGGTCAAATCTAGAATTTAAAGTGTGTGAAAAATAAGCGTTAGGTCTGGGGATCGCCTTTTGGGATGCGCTAAACCCCACGCCACCGTCTAAATTGTCCCCGGAGTGCTGACATAATAGACCATTATGACACGATATGCAGCATCTCTGATTGATTCATTATGGATGAATTATTTTCTAAAGAATTTTTAAATATTATATTTATTCATATTACATTGTATATCAAAACATAAGAGACTATTGATGATAACAAGAAGTTTCCATGCATTTTCCCATGTACAATACTGGTTCTAGTATTTACACTCACCAGACCAGTAGCAAGTACTTCGTTACTGTCATGAAAAGACGGATTTTTTGTTATTAAAATTTGCCCGAATTTGGCTATGCTTTTTTGTCCATTTTCGGTTTATAAAAAACTCTTCATTTTTTATTAAGCCTCGAGCATCACTGAAGAGACATTTACTGTCGAAATGCGCACCTGGTGCCGAAAAATTGGTACATTTATGATATTAAACAGTTTTTGTAACTATGTATGGCATGATTTGCCTGTAGAATAGACGTAGTTCTACTGTGTTCATAATTACATTTAAACAGAATATTTTAACCCCGAGTAAGCTAAAATTTCCAGAAGATGTGGATCGGCACGACCCACCTAAAATTTTTAATATTTTTTTGTTTTTCTTTCACCTTTCACTAACAATTCGTACATATTTCAGTTACCACTTTGGCGAACTTTTAAGATATGTCAGGGTTAATGTAACAAAGCACCATAACCCAATACGGATCATTTGCATTGCAAACTTAAGTGCATAAGTCCCGTTCATGGCGAAATCGAATTCCCAACACGTACTAACCGTTCTCAGTTTGCAGAGTGCCGAGGTCATTGTGCGTTAAAAAGGCCTGTTACATCCCTTCAAAGGGATCCGTTAGTGAATTGTTGTAAAATTAAGTATCCAATGTTACCCAGTGCGATATTGTCTTCCAGTGACTGTTTACATGATCCACCGGTCTCCCCTTCCACTACTACTTCAGGTCATACTCATCAATATATATTTTGACATACATGTTCTGCATGGTCATGAATAAACAATATTTATACGTAAAGCACCACACGAACAATCTTTCTTTGCTGGTTTAGATGATTGTATGTTCTCAAGGAATATAAACGTCAGCGTTGGTCTTGAAACATTATTCAAATATTTTTCCGATGCTCATATCTACTTTCAATTAAAAAATAAATAGTTCTGTAAGTTATAACACAACAAAACTAACATATTAGTAGTCAAACTAATAACGGATGCGCTGCGTTAGTGTAAGATCAGTTCGTTTAATTGAAATTACAAATATTTGAGAATTAAAGTTGTGAGATTTCCTGGTCAGTGCCCTCGTGTATTGTCACAACAGAATAGTACCTGATGACTGATGTCGTAATGAAGACTGATTACTGGGTATGACAAAACATCTATTCATTACCTTAGAGTCACCAGGTGTGTATTTATTGATTAAATATAGGAAGTAAACCTGACTTCCAGAATATCAGAATACAATAACGATTGAAAGAAAACGTGACTAACACGTCAATAAGACAGCAACCCAACAACAAAAACCACGTTCAAGTTAGGAAATGTCCTGAATTATACGTTTTGTATATACCAAAAGAATATAAAAAAACAATCAGATATACACGCAGTGTGTGGGTTTTTTTTTATAATTGATTTCATTTATTTATTCATCTAGTTTAACGAATTGATATTTTCTTTGAAGTTTGCCTCCAATGTTTAGTATTAGCATCTGTCTAATAAATATCACGATTTCTTCAGTGAGATTTATATGTGTAGTATGTCATCATCTATGTACAATTCGATAAAGAAAAATTCCTCTGTTGTAAAAAGCAGAATGAAATTATTAATATTGTCCCTAGTTGAAAAACTCTTCCTCGAAATTTCGGGCCTAAAAGTACTTTTCATAAACCTTTCGATTACAATTATCGTAATCAGACTCATAAATCAATCAATCACAAATACTTGATTTGGTATTTCGAGCACAAATTTTGTACTCCATCTACCCCGTCTTTTGATTTTTGTTATCTAAATATCAATGTCCCACATATTGTTTTCTCTAAATATCCATGTCCCCCATCTTTTATTTTTGTTCTCTAAATATCCATGTCCTGATCTTTTGTTTTTTTGTCTCTAAATATCCTTATCCCCCATCTTTTGTTTTTTTTGTTCTCTAAAATATCGATGTCCCCCTTCTTTCTTTTATATCTAGATATCGATGTACCCTTTTTTCAAAAATGTCCAAAAATTCTAAACGTCCAAATACATTTTTTCCACTAGAATCAATTCATATACGAAAAGATCACAACTTTGTAAAATATGACCACAATTTATTTTATCATATCACGGATTAAATCTTTTCATTATTAAAATATATCACAGTCATTACAATGAAAAACAACCTTGAAGAGGATATTTGAAACTTCCATTTAGTATTCATTTTGTTTATCGCTGATGTTTATGATGGGTTAAGTCTGATAAAAACTCGCCAAAGAACCTGGCTAATAGAATGTATTAAATGAGAATCTATGTATAACATATGATAAAAAGCTAGAAAATATTTCTGCTTTTCACATTTAAGTCAATTAATTTCAGTATTATTGATACTGTATACCAAATTACAAGCAATCAGATACATTTTGTATCTGATATTGTAAAAAGTAAATTTCTGATACAGTTCGAGGCTATGAAACTATAACCACCCAAGCGTTGAACTATTGTATACATTGTGCAAGATGAATTTATACATATTACTATACAGCAAGTTTACTGTTTCATGTTGCATTGTCGGAAACGAGAGGGCGTGACCGTATAGGTTTTGAGTGGTATATAAAGATAAACAGCTAATGAACAAAATCAAACATACACCATATATCAATCAGGAATGTTTAGACAACTGGTCATCATCTATTTTGCCGTTATTTCTGAAATTCCGTTAAACGGTGAGTTTTCTGTTGTATATTTCTTATTTCAATTTATCAATTTTCAAGTTGTTTTTATGTTTTAATTATTAAACAAGTGCTCTCTTTAAAAAAGACTTTTAATTCACATAATGAATGGAATGTCATAATGAATAACGGTTACAAAATCATTGCCCAATAGTTAATATAAGACACGGGCTTGTATAATGATAATATATATCCATCCAGTGGACAGTAGTCCATAAGACCAGGTTTTTTTTCTAGATATTTTATGACTGTCAAGCGGACAGTTTTTCATAAGACAAAAATCTTCAGGATGGATTATGTCCGTCCAGTGGACAGTATCTCATAACACTTTTTTTCTGGATATTTTATGTCCACCTAACAGACATTATTCCATAAAACAAAGGCTTTTTCTTGATGTTTATGTTTGACCAGCGGACATTATTCCATAAAACAAGGAATTTTTCATAATATTTTGTTTTCCGAATACGTGTAGTATTTCATAAAACCAGGGCCTTTCCAGTCGATGATGTGTGTCCGTCCAGTGGACATTATTTTGAAAGACAAGGGTTATTTTCTGGATGTTTTATGTCCGACCAGCGGAAGAATTTCATAAAAATAAGGCATTTCGTGTATAATGTCCGTAGACAATGTTTCAAAAGGCGAGTTTTTTTCTTGATATCTTATGGTCGTGCAGATGACAGAATTTCAGAAAAACATGATATTTTGTTGTAATTTTAGTGCGTAGTAGTCCAAACGACCAGATTTTTGTATAATTAATTTACGTCCAGCGAACAGTATTCTATAAAATATTTCTTTTTCACCAGAAGAAATTTAAAGCATTTGGATTTGATTTAGTCGTTGATTGAACTGATTATCCCACCAAAGACAAGTCTGTTCTACAATTACTTCAGATTTTGTTGAATTTCATATAAGGAAACAAACTTCGACAGTTTTCTTAACCGGTAATCTAAAAATAGCAATTCACGGAAAGATCTTGCACCATTCACTGTGCCATTATTTCTTATGTTTTAAGTATTGATAAGATTACCAACATTTCTGCAATAAGTGCTTTTACTCCATAAGATTAGTCTTTAATTTTACAGAATATTTACACGCCTAAACACTAATCGTTTTTGCGGATAAATCCCCTTAAGTATTACAAAATGAACAAACTTCAATTACTCGCAAAAACTTTGTGTTCGTACTGGCCGACAAAGCAGTCAACAATGTGGTGGTGAAATGACGTAAATGCTACACGGAAGTTCTTAAGAATGAAATTATAAATTCTTCTACATTCATATCCGTGCGCTCCACAGAGAGTCATATAGTAAACAATCATATCATCACCACATATCATCTTAAGGCTTCTTCTGAACATTTGAAGCTCGTCACTATGAATTGTTTATCAAAACTACTAAAAAAAAAACGTAAGATACCGTTTCATTTCTGCCTCTTGTAAGTGTTCTACAATGATTCTCTTAGTGTTTTAACTAGTTCCATAACAACTATCAAAGAACTTATCATTAACTTTTGTAATTAAGCATATGTAAACAGTGGAAATAACTAATTTTGGAGTGTGACAAAATTTGGATGTTTTAAATAAATAACGTGCTTTTGATCCTCCTTTTAATTCGATGGACAGTTTTGACTTTTAAACTCGTTGCACTTCACTTCCACAAAATCTTTAAAAAAAAAATTCCTGTCTAACCAAAAAATTGTTTGAAAGATTTGATTGCAAATTATTTATTTGCTGCGTCTCATCTAAAGTCTTCTTCTGTGATGAGAAAGGTAAATATGCAATGTTTATAAATCCCAACTCGTTCGCCGCGTATGCCCGTGTCTGTGGTGACGTTTTGGATTTCAATGAAAGTAATCTATGTATTACTGGTAAATTAATATGTAAAGGTTTTCGTTACCACAAATTACTCGAAACCTTACCAATTGCGCCCCTTTAATAGCAGACGTGTTCCTGTACTCTAACGAATCATAGTGTATTGCAAAGCTCAGTAAAGACCCGTATAAATTCACTTTAATTTATAAATTCAACCACACTTATCGTTATCATGATGATATTTCAATATATATAATAATCAAGAATTCTCTAAATATACTGCCGAAATTTACCTAAAGGAACTTACGTCAGACTTATAAATCAATCAATCACAAATACTTGATCCCGGATAACTTATTGATCATTTATATACACTTATTCTAAAAGGATACCAAATCATTACTGTTATTAGATCTTTGAATATTGTTTTTATCGGTATAAATACTGATTTTGTTATCAATAAATTAAAACCCAACTGAATATTATCATTAACCACATATGTTCATTCACGGGTCCTACAATCTGTCGATACCTATATTTTGACATTTCACAAGGGCAATTTTTTCTCTGAGTGTTAATATCGTCTTCACACTAATTCCATTGAAAGTTGGATATGCACTGATTGATATTTTAGTTTAAGATACTAGTACAGGATTTTCTTATAAGTTGTTATTGGCTATGACCTAGTTTTCAGCAACTGCGATTACTCTCATATCTGTTATTTTTGTTTATTGTGTTTTTAATTAGTGCTTAGTGTTAGTTATTTTTTGTGCTTTGTATCGATCTTATGAGTTAATCCCTTTTCAACTGATTTTATAGCTTGTTCTTATGTTGTGCTTTTACACAACTGTTCAAGGTTAGGGGGAGGGTTAGTCGCCCGCAAACATGTGTTACATCGCCACATTCTGTATGTGCTTATCCTAAGTCAGGAGCCTGTAATTCACTAGTTGTCGTTTGTTGTTGCATATCATATTTGTTTTTCGTTTATTGTTTTGTACATAATTCAGGTCGTTAGTTTTCTCATTTGAATGGTTTTATATTTGTCATTTCGGGGCCTTTTATAGCTTGCTATGCGGTATTGGTTGATGATTGTTGAAGGTGGTGAACTATAGTTGCTAATCTTCTACGTCATTTTGGTCTCTGGTAGAGAGTTGTCTCATTGGCAATAACACCACATGTACTTATTTTCATATGCAAGTTGTACACAAAATATACAAAACAGTTTCGGTTTGGCTTGAACAATTTCATTCGTATCCACTTTTCGGGTATTAAAAATTTGCCACTCTATATCAAAATTCCAGTCTAGTTTCAGTCCAGTTTGCATACATGTTCCAAAATAGACTACCATGTTAGAAACTTGAAGAACTCGCATAAAGATGAAATTTTCTGAATTTTGGTAAAAATTGAAAGTTTCTTATGAAATAAATCAGAGGGAATTTAATCAAAAACTACTGGTCAGTAACCAATTACTTGGTTTTGTGGATATGCATTTTTAAGAACAAGTCGAAAACCAGATAATCAAACCTCACTATTTCGTCCGGCTCTCTATGCGTGTAATTGTGACCGTCAAATCTGTCAGAATAGAGATGATATAGTAACGTTTGGTGTGTTATTTGACTCTAAAGGATAAGACCACAGTTTGCCCCTTGAATATGAAAATCAAAAAGACTTATAAATCAACCAGATAGCAGCGTTCAGATGATTATTATACATTAGTTTGTCGGACACCAGTATTCATATTTTTGATTTTTGTTTCACATATTTGCATCAGGTTCCAAATTTGTTAAATTTAGTGCAAATACTGCACACACAAAAAAACTCTATCAAAATAGCCTCATTTTGATCTTGATATTAATATTTAAAAACTTGAAAAGATGCTATGCTGAAAGATGAATTTTAAAAAGATTTGAATGTGTGTAAAAAACAGTTTTGGGTAAAGACTTGGCTAACAACTATTTTGTCGAAAAAACTATGAGTAAAATTCACATTTTCAGTCAAATATATACGAAAGCCCATTAGGGTCACAAAAAAAAATATTTATCTCGTAATTATCATTTCAATATGTTTAAGAAAATGTAGTAGTGACCGTTTAACAGTAAAAGTGTCCGGATTTTATTTACTTGTTCATTTATCAATACAATGAACATGATTTTGAAAGGTTCGAGTTATTTTTTAGTTTTGAAATTTTAGGAGTCAAATCATTGCTGTTACCATAGCTCCTCTTTCATAAAAAAACTAAAAATTGTAAAATACAATTACTATTAACATAACGACTGTTTATTATTTCTACACAGATGAAAATCAATAGTCAAGGTTCTGCCAAATTTTGGCATTTCCTGCTGAATTTTACGGCTGAACAATCTACGAAAACTAAATTTTGAACCAAAACTTATTCAACTTTATTTAAGTACATAGATTCAACATTTGATTATGCAAGTCTAGGACAAATGGAGTTAATAAAATTGAGAATGGAAACGGAAAATGTGTCAAAGAGACAACTACCCGACCAAAGAGCAGAAAACAACCCAACTATTGGGTCTTTTCACAGCGAGAAAATCCTGCACCCGGAGTCGGAGTTCAGCTGGCCCCTTAGCTTTAATGTATACTATTTCAGAATTAAATTTGTTTTCAGGGTCGATTTAGCTCCAGATCTTTACTTCTCTACTTGATTATCAAAATATTAATAAGTTTTACTAGAAATGAAAAGTCACTGGTATCTTCATCAATAATTTGCTTTACTAAGAATTAGTCAACTAAATAATGTGTCGGGACAACTGCAGTTTGGGAGTTTGGGTGTTGTCTTAATGAATGTCGATTTGTCAATATGAGTACGATAATTAGAAAATAAAATCTGCATTGTATTTCTAGTACATCAATGTTAAATAATATTAGCTGAGTACTGAATACCCTATCATTTACCTTCTGTTGCAACTTTTCATTAAAGTAAAAGTGCTTGCATTATATTTATGAAGTTAAAGTCAATTGATACTTTTCAATAGAAAACCTTCACAGAAGAATTACTTAATCTATCCAATACAAATTTTAAATCATTTTCTGTCAAGGTCCTGTGATTATCCATTAATCCCTACAGAGGGCATATAATGTCAGTAGTTCAAAATTATCATCCTCAATTTATTTTCTAATCGCAGCAATTTATTTCGAGTCTTGCTCTAATGAATGTCTGACTGTATTAATATTACCATTTGGGTTGTGTAGGTATATATATTGCCAAAAGGGAGTAAAGGACATCGCTGTCATATTGACGTATAGCCCAAATTTCCTTCCTTCATGCTTAAAACTCATCCTTTATTTTTATTCTTTTCAGTGTAATGTAATTTTGTTGTCAAACCATCTCCACCATCCAATCCCCCTTTTTGTTTTAATGTTGTTACCCTCATTTACATATGTTCATTTTATTAGAAGCATCATTTTTAAAAACGAAAATGGCCATTGCTCATAATTTACTCTATGAGTTTAAATCGTAATTAGTATTTAACTTTTTTCATAAAACTATGATTGCCTACAGATTTTTATCAACTAGCTCGATAGATCAAGAACATTTTATTAATTTAAAAAAATAAATAAAAAGGAAACAAAAATTTCATTTATATTGAAATTTTGCAAAATCTCTGTTCTGTTCTTCAAGTAAGGCCATTTTTATTTTATATATTGTGAAATAAATGTAAAATTTTCAATAGTCTGGCTCAACTTCAAACTTTTAAGAGGTATTTTATCAATGTAACGTCATGCCTTCTGAAAATGGTGAAAAATCTTTTGATATTAATAATAGATGATGTGTGGATAAGTCAACAAGACAGCTACCCAACGACAAACAAAATTGCAAAAGATATCAAGGGTCAACAAGTAGTATTCAAAAATATACAGGTGCCTTTACAAAATGTCAAGGTCTACATTATTCAGATTTCGAAATTTTAACTCCAATAAGATATAAAACGAACAGAAATATACTAGATGCATTTGAAACCAGGAACTATTATAACTGTTAAATTATATATTAGACCCACGTGAAACCGGGAAAGGCGATTTTTATAATCAAACTTAGCATTCTAACTTTAGAAGACATTTCGTTGACACTTTACAGATGCTTATTCCTTACTGTTTTACGTTTTAAAATTTTGCTTATCAATTGGAAAAATCTACAAGGTACACGGATATACCATTTACGTATAGAATTCAAACTATTTGATTTGATTTTCAAACCGTATTAAATAATAAAAATGAACAGGAAATGAGAACAGAGATATCCTAAATAAACCAACGCCTACAAAACTAATTCAAATGCTAATTATTTTCATACTAACATCTATTGGATTGCCTGTAAATAAGATATTAAACAAATACACTGTCTAATAAAAAATGGCTGACATGGACTGTTGTAGAAATGTGTTGTATCGGGAAGTTTTGATGTTACTTAATTTCTGAACAAGTCTTTAAAAAAACTTTCTCCTCACAGCCAAATGGAAGAATAATATACCACAAATGAGGGGAAGTTATTGTCTCTAAATTACTGAAAGCACTGAATTCAAACTATGGAAACAATATATTTCCGTTTGTCATAAATTCAGCTAGCCATGTATTATAACTGCAAAATACAAGTTAAGCGTATTTTACTATATGCTCAAATTACTTCACTGAATAAAACACATTTCATACTTTTGTATCTTTTAAATCGATAACTGAAAATAAATTCTAGCATCGTCATTTTCATTTTTCAACATCGAATTATAACGTTTTAACAAAAATGAAATATTGAAACGATCACTTCGCATGACACCCGTTTTTTGTATAAACATGAGATATAAGCTTGTTTTTTTATTATGAAAAGAACACTAAAAATAAAAATGACAGATGTGGAATGATTGCCAGTGAGATAAATATGTACCAAAGTCCAAAAGACAAGGATATAAAGAACAATTGTGTTTTATTTTTGTCGTTGTGCTGCTGTCTCATTGATGTGTATCCTATATCTTTTATACTCGTACATCCGGTTTAAAAAAAATAACAAGTAATACAGTCATATGAATTGAAATGTCAACGAACTTAGGACTATATCCCACAACTATGTAAGAGGATTGTAATAAGGAAAAGAAAATTAGTTCAAAATCAAATTTCTCACAGAATACAACGAAGTGTGACACAAAATACATTACAGCGTTAAATTAACTTCAAATTTTAAATGAATATGCATTTTCTTGTTACACATTTCAATTTAATTTTTTTTCTTCAAAATATGTGAATATCGGTTTGTAATCTTTTTGGCACTTGAAATAATTTGTAACTCTTTATGCTCTTCACTTTTTGAAATAGCCCAAAGTTCGAATCTTTACTGAGCTTTCTTGTTCTAGCACGAGGTAATTAATTCATGTTTCCAATGTAGATACATTGAAGACGAGACGCCCCTTTTTAATTAAATCCGATTTATTTATTAATATTTTTTTCAGCTTAAATGATACATATTTATGTTTGGATCGTCATTCATAATTAAACAAATACATAAGCGATACACGTATTACATAATTATTTGATAAATCTTTATTCCATTTACAGGACGAAGTATTGATGGAAATGACGACTTTGTTGAAGAGTTACATACTAGACATAAACGATCTGTAAGTTATGCATGTGTGATTTCAATTGGATGTACATAAAATAATAATCTTATGAAAGAGTTGAAAATATTAGTAATAAAATGGACAGCGTTTGCATTGCCATTGTTCATTTTGATATCTCCAGTAAAAACTTTTATAAATAAGACAAAGCTGTGAGGGTGATAGAGAAGATCGTTACCCCTCGAAAAACTATTGTCAAGTTTGGCGAGCAGATTTTTACACCGATATAGCTTTGTCGATTGAGGCAAAGCCAAGGTTGACGTAAAAACATCGAGGGGTAACAATCTAATTTGTTATTTCACCCTCTCAGATGTGTTATTCAATCTATTTTACTTAATGTTCCATATTATTGTCTTTCAAATTTTAAAATGAAAATAATATACTATGATCTCATAAACATAACAACTATCCGTATTTTATAAGAAAACAAATAATCAAGCGTCTCCGTGAAGGGTAATAGAATATAAGCCATTGGATAGATTAGAATATCTTCCTCGTATTAACCAATCAAAATTTGGCATTTTAACGTGACGTTAAATAAAAAATCGCGATTTCAAGATAATCAGATAGATATTTTTCTTAATATATTTGATTTGAAAATACATATGCGACAGTAATGGAAACTTGTGTAAAGTCTTTTTGCAGCCAACCAAATCACACTTAAAAAATATACGTATTTTATAATACAACAAAAGGGTCTGTATCTGATTTTAGAGTACCATTTCAACTAAATAGCTTTTGCTATAAGAATGTGTATCAATTCTGCAAAGTATTGACCAAATACTGTCTGTTTTGTTTTTGCAAGTTAGCATTTGATAGAAAACTTATTATGAGACAAAAAGGCACATACGTGACACGTAGAAGTTCAAAATTTCATTTCCGTTTAAATAATTACTAGTACAAGTTTTTTATGATAAAAAAATGTGGTATATTTTTACTTGGCAGAGTGCCTACTCATAGATCGTACAGTAAACAATAGTTGAAGGGTTAAATAGTGTATCAAGTTGATTGTCAAATGACTACAGAACTATACTAATATGTTAATCAATTCTGAATAACCATCATACAAATAATCATCTTTAATGAACAGTAAGAAACATTCACGAACAATTTAACATTTGAAAATGGTTGATATTACATGTATTTATGGCGACTTATTGGTCCGATTGGCCGGGTGTAAGTTCATATTGCTCGTATACTTTGTAATTTGCACATATATTTACACATGTCACTATAATTATTCACTTACCTACTGACTTACACTAGGTATTTCCTTAATTTAAAATAATTTCCCAAATTTTATAACAGCAAATTTTATTCAAACGATATCTGTATTTTCATGCCAGTATTTCGGTACTGGCTACTGGGCTGGTGTTGCCCTCGTTATAAAATACGTTCTCTCAATTTCATTCTGACCATTGAAGTATTATATTGACTTCTAGTATATGATTTCCATGCTAAGGAGATAAAACCAAAAAGCTATAGGTTACAATTCCGTAAGGGGATGTTAACCGTAGGTTTTGATAATTTTCAATCTATATCTACGCCTCGTCGGACCTTTTTTTTAATACTTTTAATACTCTTGGGAAAAAATCGCTGATTGAGGATTGGTTGATAGTTTCTGTTAAATAAATTCATAACGATTTTGGATTTAGAGGACGATAAAGAGTTTGTCAACTGATGCATTGTTTTTGTCGTTAGGTTGCTGTCTCATTGACGATTCCTAAATTTATCATTTATTGGTATATAATTTAGTATATATAGGTTAGACCCCCCCCCCCCTCCCCCACTTCAAAAAAAAAGATATTATTCAGGATACACGAAAGCGACACACAATCATCTGATTTATAGTTTGTATTAGTCTTGATGCAAATTTGTACATTTTTGTGTATTTGTTTTATAGTTCCCAACTTGCATGTGTTTAACCTCAATTAATTTAGATTAAATCAAACGCAAAAAGCGCGGAATTTGCTGTCTTGATAATATCAGTTTTTCTGTCCGTATTTCTCCCAAAATATAATTAGGAGCAATTGAAATACAAATGTATACGATACAATATCACTGTTTGTAGATGTAGTTTAAAGTAAATGAAACAGTGCTGATTTATTATTACCGACAAGGGTCAAGTTTGCCTTAGATCGCTACTATAAAGAAATTGTCGAAAGACCCCTCTTAAAATAATGGTCGAAATACTTTGTTATTTTTATCGGGTGACAGTTTAAACGATATGCCATGTCTTAATAAAATAGTTTTAACGTATTGACAAGCGATTTTTTTCTGACATTTGACAAATATGATTTGTACTTATTTCATTTTCAATTCTGCTTTCTCATTTATTCAGATGACAGCGATTTACTGTAAATTTTTAATAACCCGCTATTATTATGATTACGTGTCACTGAAATAATGGTGATTTCAAAATCAAAATTACTAGACATTCATACCTGATTTCATAAATACTTTTATTTGTGAAACGTAATAAAAGACATAAGTGAAGGATACAGTAATGTCGGTACCATTTATAAAGTAATGTCGATTCAAATGACAAAACAATGTAAAAAAATAGATCTCATCATGACAAAACGCATAGAACGAATTTCATATTAATTGAATGCATTTTAATACACACAATATTATATTTAAAAAGAATATGAATATATTAAATATGACTTGGTCTTAATGATGGGGCCATTGTTTTTAAAGACAAAAAAAAAAAAAAAAAAACCAATTAAAGTTAAAGACCCTTTGACATTGAGTTTCATTATATCTTATGATGCTCATTTCACATGGACGCATTGTCACTTAAACAAGTTCCGTATACTCTTGTATCAACAATTTAAAGTATAGATTTGACTTTCAGTCCGTTCTGTCAGTTAACGATTTAAAAATTGAGGTCTCGCATATAATCAAGATGTAAACTGTAATAAAAGACATTTTTTTATTTTTTAATTTCATATTGACTTTTTACATGCAATATGTTTTTTTTCGAAGGTAATCACGATGCTAGTCACAACACTGTATAATTCTAAATATATATATTTCCTTGTCTAAATAAATTCATTAATTGTGTATCAAAACACATTTTTACCAAGAGCTTTATTTATGTGTGAATATATTTATCTATATTGTTATCATATTTTAGAGAGAAACCGTACTATAGTGATATTTCTGTATTTATATTGCAATTGCAATTATATTATAGCTGACTTTTGGGGTTCTTATAATCTCAAGTCGTTCAGGGTTCATGATATTATTTAAACACCCAACTTGTGGAGCAATATAGTATAAGTAAGTACTGTGGCACAAACTATTTGAAATGTACATACTGGGATATTCAACAGTGTATAACTTCAAATCAACCAATCAGATTACTTGAAATCCAAAAAAAAACATGAATATTCAACAATATGTCGATATTGTATAGAAACGTTTACTGGCGTTGTCAGTTTGTTTTCGATCTATGAGTTTGACTGTCCCTCTGGTATCTTTCGTCCTTCTTTTACTAGTAACAAACTTTCAATATAATCAATAGTTAGAAAAGACTGTTTTGTCTTTTTATTTCTTTTTTATTATTACACATCTTTATTTAACAATTTAAATATATACACAATAAAGAGGCTAACACATACTTATCAGTTGTATTTAAACTGTATCGTTCACAGGCAAGCTGCAATACCACGCCATCTCTGAAAAAATATAAAATATATGTTGAACACACTGCATGTATAGCTCCATCATCTGAAGCCAACTTGACAACTGCAGGTAAATAATGTTGAAGATATATGAATACACACTTGATTTTGAAAAAAAATCCTCAAATTTAAAGTATTATTGAAAATATGTAACAGACAGTTGATGGCATAAGTAAGTAAGTAAGTATTCAGAAATTCCATGGAGATAAGGACAAAACATTGAACTATCTTCAATTACAGCATAAATTCATAACAAATTAGAAATGAACCATTACAGAAACGGTTCAGTGAATAACAAAATTATCAAAGATACAACGATTGAGGCAAATTATCACTGAACTGAAAACAGCTCGTATTTAAAATCTCATTTATTTTTTCTTCAAACTAAGTGATCGTGAAAAGTTGATTTAGTCCTCTTAATATGCATTTATAACGATGACATAACAAGATATTTAAATGCCAAAATTACAATGGCGAAAGAAGATCCAAAATAAAAACAAAAGTAACAAATGCAGACTAAAAAACTCCAAACTAACTACCCCATAGAATAAAGAGGAAGAGCATACAAACGAAAAATTGTAAGTCGTATAAAACAGACAACCCCATTGCGGAAAAGAAAAACGGCCAAATGTCAAACAGCACAAAAACATTAGACAGAATACTTAAGATTGCACAAAACGAACCCCATCAGAACACCGGGGTGAATTCAGATGCTCAGAAAAAATCAGCATTTTCTGCTCCACTTATGGCACCCGTTGTGTCAAAGTTTCAAATAGTTTAGATATGTTATTCGCAAATATAATTAGTATTCTTCCTTTACAGGAGTATCAGATGCTGAAATAATAGAGATAGTCAATTCACACAATACATACAGATCTGGTACACAGGCTACCGACATGATGAAAATGGTAAATATAAAAAGTGGTTAACGATTAAACTTATTTAAGGTTAAAAGTTTAAGCTTGGCTTGAAATAATTCAATATTTTCTCGTACTTTTACAATTGGTAGATAATTGTTGACGGTTTCCATTATAATCAGGGTATAACATATCTTTTTTAATCAATGTAGAAGGATACTAAATCAACTTTTAACAATCTAAATATCCTACAGACAACACATTTAAGTCAAAATAGATGTGAACATGTATACAATCTAACAAGAAATAACAATGATTGAATACAAAACCAAGGAAGATCGCCAAAAAAAAAAATTGAAATAAAGCGTCATTTGATCCTGCTCCAAACGTGTAAGCCACTGCTATTAAAATAGAATAGTTACCCCCTGACAACGACTTACAATACGGGTATTTTTCATATGTTCTTCAGCTTTAATGTGCAAGATTAAAAGGTCAAACGGTCGCTCTTTATGGCGAAAAAACAAAAGATTTTCAACGAATCTGTCAAAGTATCCTGATAGAGCGAGTTTGTCAGCTTAGTATACACTTAATAAATATACAATGAACGAATTTTTAACTAAATACCCCATAAACCCGGAAATATGGTCATTACTGTCTTAATTTATTATATTCAATCTTTTGGTTTTTGTATATTCCCCTATTAAGTATCGAAGTGTTTATCACCTGAATACTAATTAAAGCATTCTATATTTTTCTAAACATCCAGAAACACGAACATGCAAGCGCTGGTTTGAAGTACACTTCAGAGTACTTCGACACCACAGTTATTCAGAAGGGATCGGTGGTTGTTGGAAAAAGAAAGGAGACGTCATACTTTATTTTTCTTATTTTTAGTTTATATGAAGTAACCAGTATAAAACACCATCATGATTTAAGCGCCCACAGTTCGTATTTATTAAAGACCTTTGACTATGTACCATGTTGACAGTGTACGCATTAAAAGAGATGTGGTATATACAATCAAACTTCACCCAACTTTAAAATAGGTTCAAAAAAAAAAACCAACCATAATAAAACATTTTTAGTAACCTATTTCTTTTATCTTATTTATGAATATATTTATTAATAATATTACATTTAGTTTGTTTGTATTACTTGTCTCCCCTTAAAATTAACACACCGGGATATGACAGCTTTTTCTTCTAAAAAGGAATAAAATGTTCTTTTTGTGATTCGACGTCTTAATTCTGTTTCATTTTGTGGCCTTTACTCCAAGGAAAGTACTAGATGCAATAGACATTTCATGTGTAAATGTGAGTGAAGGGTGATGCAAGTTATATGTTCTGAAGAAATGCTTGATTTTCCAATTTTGGAAGAAATGCTTGATTTCCCATTTTGTTCTATTGACGATATTAAAGCCGTTACCTTTATTTACACATTGATACCTTTTGGGTAATCATAGACCTCAACAAAACAGGCCAATTAGCAGTTTACTAGTATAATAGTTGTAAGTGTTTTAAAACTTTGGTCCTACAGGGGTTTGGACGCCATATTGGTATTACTCCAAAATTTCTATTGACTACGGTCAAACCCAAGTATATTGTTAAAAAAAATTATTATGTTCAAATGTTACAGATCACCCCCAATTTTTGGTGGGGTTCGTGTTGCTTAGTCTTTAGTTTTCTATGTTGTGTCATCTGTACTATTATTTGTCTGTTTGTCTTTTTATTTTTGGCCATGGCGTTGTCAGTTTGTTTTCGATCTATGAGTTTGACTGTCCCTCTGGTATCTTTCGTCCCTCTTTTACATGCTTTATTCATTTATTTCATATAGTTGAAAATATTGCATAGTCCTTGTGGTTGTTTTTAAGACACAAATCAGTTGTTAAAATTAAATAAAATATGATGGCCATCTTTACTTCTGATGTATTTTTTTACTTTTTTCAGTAAAAAAATTTAATATCCATATTGTTATTTAGAAGCTAAAGTAAAGATTTGTAGGAAAGGCAAATCTATGTTCTACAATGTGAGCCTCTCGGGCCTCACTTTAAACATCTGCTGAATCAAACAAATTTCAGGAGCCTGTAATTCACTGGTTGTCGTTTGTTGCTGTATATCATATTTGTTTTTCGTTCATTAATTTGTACATATATCAGGCCATTAGTTTTCTCGTTTGAATTGTTTTACATTTGTCATTTTGGGGCCTTTTATGCTGAAAATACGGTGTAGGTTTTGCTCATTGCTGAAGACCGTACGGTGACCTATAGCTTTCTATATTATTTGGTCTCTGGTGGTGGGTTGTCTCATTGGCAAGTATACTACATCTTCTTATTTTTATATACAATACGGTAATAAGAACTTTCTGAAAATTTCAATGCAGGTTTTATTTTAATTGTTTTTGACACAAAACCATTTCTCCGAATAGGTAGAAATTAGACCCGATATTGTTGCTCTCTCTCTCTCTCTCTCTCTCTCTCTCTCGTAGTAGTAGTAGTAGTAGTAGTAGTAGTAGTAGTAGGATACAAACACTACGAGAGAGAGAGAGAGAGAGAGAGAGAGAGAATTTTCGTATACAAAATGCAAAAACATCCGACCATTGCTCTTACAAAAATAAAACAAATGAATTTAAACATGTTGCTCATAAGAAGTAATTTTGTCATACCGGTGTTAGGTAACGCTTGTAGACAATAAACTCTTCACAAATACCATGGTAAGTGAAAACATCTATTAAAAGATGGCCATGAATTTTGAAAAATGGTATATTTTTTTTACAAATTGATCGCATGTTTGAAAAATGGGACAGTTGGTACTACTTCTAATTCAGTCATAGCCACGCGTTTTCCTAAAAAAGCCATTGATATTAAAGATACTTATCGCTCATAATTATATAAATTTTCCAACCAGAAAAAAAAAACCAAAAACAAAAACAAAAACCGCACCAGATACTCTATTCATTAAATATTTCCATTATCACTGTGCATAAAGATAGGAACGATTCTACGTGGGTAGATGTATAGATTTATATTACAAACTTCAGTATTGTGGAACAAAATATATGTTGAGAACAATAAAACGTCTATTAGCATGTTCAATAATTCAGTCTGATATAATACGTGTTGCAGTTTCTGTAATTATCTATCAATTGTGATTTTTTTTTAATTCCATGAATTAAAAATAAGATTATTGTCGGTGGTTCATGTCTATCATATTTGTTTTTCGTAAATTCATGAAACTGTTTTGCTATAAATTAGGCCGTTAGTTTTCGCAATTGAATTGTTTCATATTTTTCATGTCGGGGCCTTTTATAGCCGACTATACGGTATGCGTTTTTCTCATTGTTAAAGGCCGTACGGTTGCCTATAATTGCTTACATCCACTTCATTTGAACTTTGGTGGATAGTTGTCTCATTGGCAATCATACATCATCTCCTTATTTTTATATGTAATATTTTTGATGAAACAAATGTCTATCCTCAAAACACAATACGAATTACCATATATTTATGATATTGATTCATAAAATTATTCTACAACATAACATATTGACTTACTGATAGAAACAACTTAGAAAATAAGCATTTTCTTGAAATAAAAATATAGATTATCCATCAAAAAACCTAAACTTGAACTTACTTTTTTTATTGCATATACATGTATATATCATGTGTGAGAAAACAGCTTTTTTGAATACGATGCTTGTATTTTGAATTGCTTAAATCCGCATTATTTGCATTCTGTTGGATATTTGTCTCATTTGTAATTATACCACATCTACTTATATTGTACCTGATTATCTAACCATTGAAATACAATATGTTTAAAGTACTTCCCAGTTGTTTTTTTGTTATTTTCGTACCACTCGATGAACACCATATAGAAGTTTTATCGTAAAGACATACAAGTCAATTCACAAGACATTGCCTAGACCAAAAAAAAAAAAAAAAATCAGATCTACAAATAGCGTTACATCAGATTGATTGACTGATAATTGCTTGTTTAGAGTCCGGTGGCAATTATTTCATACATATTTAGGGCGAGAAAAATTTACATTTACACAATATGAAGATTCTGTAGATCAGGATATAGGGGAGGTAATGTAGCCTGCCACCAGAAAGGAGGGTAAGTCCGACAGGACAAAATAAAAAAGAAACAAGTAACCTACGGACTCCTCAATAAGTTGTTGCAAGGGTTTTTCAACGTGCAAAGAGCGTGTCATTCTTCTTACAAAAAGCATCGGTTTAACTTCCATTTTCGGCCGTTCATGGTTACGAGTTTATATATCCCATACATCCCATACTGACGTCACGTTTAAGCAAGGGTTTTATCACCAAAAACGGAGGAATCCCAGAGATAGCCATGTTTCTATACTCCAGTCAACCCTTGGTAGTGTGACATTAGCAAGATAAGATTAACTAGAAGAAAAACATTATGCTTTATTGTGACATATTTTCATATAATTATAACAGTATGATTATCTCCTTTGGTAAAAAGTTGATCGACCTTTATTGTTCATAACATAGTGGGAAATTAAAAAATATGGCAAACAGCTGTTTCATTTGTAAAATTCGTTTCTAAAAATTATGGATAACATAACCTAAAAATATTTCAGAGTTGGGATGCCGAAATTGCATACATAGCTCAGAAATGGGCAGAAAATTGCGAAACTGTTCACGATGGAGGTATGAAGAGAAGAATCCCAGGTACTAACTATACTATTATACATAATGTAGTTTACGTTATCAAATGTACGATTAAGAAGTCTCGCTAAATACGTGCATGTATATTCTTTGATACTTTTTTTTTTGCATAATTAAAGATACTTTTAATAAAAAATACAATTTTGGTATTGAATTTTCCATATTATGAACAGGAATAAAAAAATCTAAATGTATTTATATTATTTTATTCAACTTTTCTTAATTATGAGCTATATACTTGTTTAAAGAAAATGAAGTAGTTTTGAGGTGTTTATGAAAGGTAACGTTTCAAACCAAAGATGGAATTAAACATCATGACAATTAATGTCAACAAGTCATCGAATCTACGTATAGAGAAATGGTGAATCTATATTTATATTTGTGTTATAGTCTGTGGATATCGCAGACTAAATCAAAATAACACTGTTTACCTATTTTGTGTTATATCTCGTCTCACTATTTTTAATATGTACCACCTTTGATAAGTATTTAGTATGACGATAAATTCTCACTTCTGTTCTCGTACTATGAACAACAAATTTATTTATTTTGTAAAAAATATTTACGTAGTCCTAACAACAAAATTACTTTATTTAAATACCTTAGTACGTTATTTTATTTAACGCCATTTTATCCAAGGTTAAAGTCGTCTTTTTGACATTGTTTTCATCCCCCCTTTTTTATTTAATATTGTATTTATATTGTGTCATAGATCAAATTTATTCGTTCAGTGTATGTTTCTTGTTTTTGTTAATATGTCTTTTTGATTGAGTTAAGCCATTTCAGTTGATATTTTATAGTGTGTCTTTCTATGTTGTAATGTTACACTGCTGTTTCAGGTTAGGGTGAAGGTTGGCGCCTGTTAAAACGTTTAAACCCGCTGCATTTTTTTTGCACCTGTCCTAAGTCAGGAACCTGTTGTTCAGTGGTTGTCGTTTGTCGATATGGTTCATAAGTTTTTCTCGTTTCTGGTTTTTTATATAGATTCGACCGTTGGTTTTTCTGTTTGAATTGTTTTACACTAGTCATTTTGGGGCCCTTTATAGCTTGCTGTTCGGTGTGAGCCAAGGCTCCGTGTTGAAGGCCGTACTCTGACCTATAATTGTTTACTTTTTACACATTGTGACTTGGATGGAGAGTTGTCTCATTGGCACTCATACCACATCTTCTTATTTCTATATACAAATGTTTCTGGATTCAGCAGGAACGCTCGAACCATATATTTGAAAGCCAAAGATGTATATCAAAAAAGCACAAATATATTTATCAGATGAAATATGTAAAACATGGCTTTTTAAAATTATTATTGAAAATTTATGGCCAATAAACTGGGGCAATGAATCCAAATTGTAACGTCTCCTTACGTTAAAAAACACAACATTCATCAATATATTCAGAATTATTTTCTGATTTTTTGGGGGGTTTTTAAAAATAAATTCAGATTTAATTTTTTTATCTCTTAGAATGGCGTTAGAAGTATATTCTTTAACAACAGTTTTTGTGCTGCCTTTCAAATGTCTGTACTCGTTCGGTATGCCCGTGTGTGTAGTGATTTTAACGAACGTAATCAATGCATCACTGGTAAATTTTTAAGTCAGGGATTTCGTTACCATAAATTACTTAAAACTTTTACTAAATTCTTTCATAGATACAAAGATTTAATTAGTAAATTTGGCTGTACCTGTAGAAAACTTATTAAAAATGGTATTTCACATCCTAAATTTTATGGTAATATTGTACTTAAAGCGCGGAAATCATTATGTGATCCGTGTAAACTCATCGAACCTTTAAACAAACTTATTAGTAAGGGTTATCGTACCAATGTTGTAATTAGATCTCTGAATATAGTTTACATTGGCACTAATATCGATTTTGTCATTAGCAAATTAAAACATAACTAAATTTGTATTTTCTTTTCAAACGGGATGTATAGAGACACACACACGTTCATTTTTATCTATAAAGAAGTCACTCCTAACTATCTTCTACCTGTCGATACATTTATTTTTGGCATTGCACAAGTCATGTCTTCTTTGACTGTTCATGACGTTAAAATACTAAATCCCTGGGATGTATATTGTTGATTTTAGTCTCTGATGCATGATTTTTTATTATTAATTGTTTTGGCTTTTAACTAGCTGTCAGTAACTGCGAGTACTCTCAAATCGTACTTTCTTTTTAATTTGACCTGTTGATACTATTTGTAATGCCTTTTTGTTATTTAATGTTAACATGGATCTTATCTATATACCAGCTTTGATTATTTGGTATTTAATTACTACAAATTTTCACTTCTTCGTACTATGAACATAAAAATTATTTCATTTTTCCTTAGATGCTGTTCTTGGACCTGTACAGGAAGTTTTATCTAGCACTAATTGTATATTTTTATTGTTGATATTCACCCCATATGTACCAAGTGTTAGATTAGTTTTATTGATATTAAAGAAATTTCTTGGTATTCCTAAACGGAAGATTTTATACACACAGAAGAAGAAGTATACTTAACAACAAAATTATTTTCATTTACCTGTGTATAATATGACGCAGGTTTCTTCAAAAGTGATGATTTTCTGTAAATTGTTTGAAATTTCACAGTTATATCATACTTTAACTTTGTTTAAACCTGTTTATTTACTTTTGACTTTAATTATTTATCCCTCGTAATTTTTTTATTAACTGTGTATTTGCATTCAGGTGTCACAGGTCAAATTTATTCGTTCATTGTGTGTTAATTTACGTTTTTTGATTGAGTTAAGCCTTCCAATTGATATTTTATAGTGTGTTTTTCTATGTTGTGATGTTATACTATTTTTTCAGAAAAGGGAGAAGGTTTGGTACCATTAAAACGTTTAATCCCGCTGCAAATGTTTGCACCTGTCCTAAGTCAGGAATCTGATTACAGTAGTTGTCGTCTGTTTATGTAGTTCATACGTGTTTCTCGTTTCTCGTTTTTATATAGATTAGACCGTTGGTTTTTCCGTTTGAATGGTTTTACACTAGTAATTTTTTGGGGCCCTTTATAGCTTGCTGTTCGGTGTGAGCCAATGCTCCGTGTTGAAGGCCGTACCTTGACCTATAATGGTTTACTTTTATAAATTGTAACTTGGATGGAGAGTTGTCTCATTGGCACTCATACCACATCTTCCTATATCTATATGTTGGTATATTGCATGTGTTATCGCCGTAAAACCAGTCACTTTTTCAAAAAATCTGTGAACATCCTACGTTCATAATCTTAATTGCTAATAACATACATATTGTTATTTGAAAGAATAAATAATAATAATAAATAACACATAGCTTCAGCAAAATTGTCTTATTGAATTACATCCCACATCACCTTTCATAACGTTGAATTAAGAAAATACAAAGACAATTTTAAAACAATGCTATCCTTTAGAACTTTTCCCAAATTTTATTGCCATTTGAAAATACGTAACATATCTGTACTTTTTCGCCACATTGTATAGCTTTTTAATATAGTATTTGAATAATAGCATAACTTTATTTATTTACAATATTAGGTCAATGTCAGAAAAATATAATCTTTTTTGTATGAGGCTGAGAAACTGGGGAAGGGCGAGGTTTTACCGAGCCCTTCTCCAGTTTTGTGCCGAATACAAAACAGTTTATATTTTTCTGACATTGACTTAATATTGTTTTTATACTGAAACTTAAATTAATACATTGATAGCTATTTAAATTGTAACACAAATTTCAATCTTATTTTCATCCCTTAATTAACCCCTGACTGTTGAAAATGTGATCCATGATGGAATTGACATTGCACAAAATATAGCTATGGGAAATAAACACAACTACTTGCAGTATAATTATATATTTATTATATTGTTTTAGGAAGATTCAGAATGGGTCAAAATCTATTCTGGGGATCACATGGTACATGGAGTGAAGCTGTGAAGTATTGGTACGATGAGGTTCAGGATTTCACATACGATGGTGGTGATGCAAACGATTTCCTTAAAGTTGGTCATTACACGCAGGTTTGGAACATGAAATTATTAAAAAAATAAGCTTCCAACTCCTTCAATTAAAGTTGAGCTTCGATGAATTTGGTCATTCTGTTTAGGACCTTTCTAGTCATTTACCTCCTATATACGCATCCCTGGCTTTCAAATCTTTAGGTTTAAGGGTTTCTGGTGAAAGTAAATCCAGAAAAGCGCTTTGACCGCACGAAACTTATAAAGTGTTTATTTTAATTAATGCTACAACTGGATTTTTTTTTAGTTATTTTAAGTTGAAAATGAGTCCAGTTTCTTCTTAAGACATCTTGGTAAATGTGAAGACAAAATACATTTAGGATTCGTATATTCATGTCTCTAGATGCAAAAAAACATACGGACCCTCAGACATGTTGCATTGGTTGCTTTAAGTTCAGAGAGATTGGTACTCTCCTTACACAAGGTATCGGATATAACGTCTCAAATTTAACAGTGCCAGACTGTAATTATTCATCCCGCACAGCAAACCTTAGAAATGGTTTTACAGTCGGACAGGAAAAGTCAAGGGATGACAATCCACATAAGCAATGGTTTTACCGTCGGACGGGATAAGTCAAGGAATAACATTCCACCTAACCAAGGGTTTTACTGTCGGACGGGAGAAGTCAAGGCTTGACAATCCACCTACGCAATGGGTTTACTGTCGGACGGAATAAGTCAAGGAATGACAATCCACCTTAGCAATGGTTTTACTGTCGGACGGGATAAGTCAAAGGATGACAATCCACCTTAGCAATTGTTTTACTGTCGGACGGGATAAGTCAAGGGATTACCATCCACCTTAGCAATTGTTTTACTGTCGGACGGGAAAAGTCAAGGAATGACAATCCACCTTAGCAATGGTTTTACTGTCGGACGGGATAAGTCAAGGGATGTCAATCCACCCTAGCAATTGTTTTATTGTCGGACGGGATAAGTCAAGGGATGACAAAATCCACCGTAGCAATGGTTTTTCTGTCGGACGGGAAAAGTCAAGGAATGACAATCTACTTTAGCAATGGTTTTCCTGTCGGATGTGATTTTCAAGAGATGACAATTTTATATACAAAAGTCGAATAAAAAAGGCCATAGCATCTCTTTTTTTTTAATTTCAAAAATAATTTGATAAGATGTTATGATCCGTTTTCTATAGTTCTACTTCTTTAGTGCTTCTCTGTAATTAATCTTCATCAAAAGCTCATTATTGTTACTTTTTGAAAACGGGAGTTGTAGGCATTAATTTTGATATATGCTGTTTTTTTTTTAATAACAACCTGTTTCAGTGGTTGTCGTTTGTTGATGTGGTTCTTAAGTGTTCTCGTTTCTTATATAGATTAGACCGTTTGTTTTCATGTTTGAATTGTTTTACACTAGTCATTTTGGGGCCCTTTATAGCTTGCTGTTCGGTGTGAGCCAACTTTTGAAGGCTCCGTGTTGAAGGCAGTACTTTGACCTATAATTGTTTACTTTTTGCACATTGTGACTTAGATGGAGAGTTGTCTCATTGGCACTCATACCACATCTTCTTATTTATATTGGTACATGTCTGTCATGTTTGCTTTTCATGAATGGCTGTGTTTTCACCTCAAAATGTATTCTGAGTACAGACAAACCTGTGTATCTGAACAAGTTTTAAGGCATAGCATGGGGTCCACATGAACCTTAAAAAGTAGCCTGTTAGTTTTCTCAATTGAATTGTTTCATATTTTTCATGTCAGGGCCTTTTATAGCCGACTGTACGGTATGAGTTTTTGTCATTGTTGAACGCCTTACGGTTGCCTATAATTACTTTCATCAACCTATTTGAACTTTGGTGGATGGTTGTCTCATTGGCAATCATGCATACCACATTTCCTTCTTTTATTCATATGGCTAACGTTTAATTGTTCTCCTATTTCTATATACGTACCGATTTCGATTGTGCGATGCGGATTTCTGGATCTACCTTACCATAAACAATTACATTTAAAAGGTATATTTAAGATTTGATTCATCATATGAATTATGCATGCAAAATACCCCCCCCCCCCCCCCCCCCCCAAAAAAAAAAAGAACATAACAAAAACAAAACAAAACAAAACAAAACAAAACAAAAAAAACCCAAGAACCAATATAACGTGAGGATACCCAAATTGCACCTATTTTGACAGTTTTTTCACCTACGTTTTTTATGATCCAGACAAAAGTTTCCATTCTGTGTTTATTTTGTAGATGTATCCTTATTTACTATATAGTTACACCAATTTAATTTTGAATCCATAGTGAATCATAGAAAAATGGGTTTGAACCGACCTCCAAACGATTCATGATTATGTAATGAGGAGTACCCAAAAGTATTAAAATTCACATCAATAAAAATCGAATAATAGACGTTTTGTTTTATTTCTTCAAATATTTAGAACAATTTGACATTAATCCATGCTAACAATTCATTTTTAAAAGAATGGATGCTTGTAACATATTTTATTTGCTCATTTTTAAAAGATAAAATTGAGAATGGAAATGGGGAATGTGTCAAAGAGACAACAACCCGACCATAGAACAGACAACAGCAGAAGGTCACCAACAGGTCTTCAATGCAGCGAGAAATTCCCGCACCGGGCATGACTTTTTGTGGACGTCGCATGGCGACGTTTCCGTAGATTTTACTTTTTCCAGTGAATGCTTCATCTGTTGATATATACTGTGAACCTTCTGTGTATATTTAAATATATTTACCTATGCTGAAAGACGTATATAATGTCAAATCATGAAATTACAAATAATTTAGCCTCAAAGAAAACTTGTAAGATTTCCGCCACTATTTTTGTTGAATAGGTGCAATTTGGGTACTGTGACGTTAACAACTATTATTCAATTTCACCCGAGGGAACTAATCCGTATTTTTTTCTATCGTATCGTAGATGCTGTTAGATTTTATCTCATTCTCTTAATATTTACAGTAACCTTCTTTCGAATTTTAAGACCGCGTTTATACAGTTGTGATTTTAGTTTGTTTGTATTTGGGTTTTTTTTCGTATGCCACTCTCCATTTTTGCTTTATTTGTACTGCGTGAAACTGCTTTTGTACCAAATATGGAATTTTTCATGAATCACTTTCTTCCCTGTCAATCAGTTTGCTCTTTAGCTGTGTGGAAGTTGTTAATATTAAAACGGCAAAATCATTTTACACATATACTTGCCGACAACATTCCCAACTCGAAGTTGGTATTTCCCGAATGTGAATTATTGACCTTTTTCGATTTGTTATTGTCAAATGTTTTTCTGTGATTAATTTGACACCGTTTAACAAAACAGTATATTTTTGTCGCTTATTAATGCATTGGTGGTTGTTTAACGTCTATTATCATCATAACTCCATGAACTATTAAAATTTATTTTCCAGTGTTCATTCTATGTAGTGTTTCTGTTATGAAAACCTTTTAATACATCTTGTCGGTTTAATCTCCAACAAGTTATGTTTTCAGCCAAAGAAGTTATCAACTTGGATGATAAATCCTAATTCAAGATTAAAAAAATCACTTTAACCGTGATCTTTTCATAGAATTAATTTAAACAAATATTTCGGTAAAAAAAGCACATGAAGATTAAATTCAATTGTTAACAGTATAATACCTTGGCAAAGAAAATACAAATCTTGTACTATTGTAGGTTGTTTGGGCAAAATCAATCAAAATAGGCTGTGGATATGCCTATTGCAAGAGTAACAAACGACATTTATTTGTGTGTAATTATGGTCCACCGTAAGTATTACATTTTGGGGCAGACATATCCTCTCTAATATGTAAAAATAGTCAGCTCGAGATGGTAGACAATATAAGTCTGTATTTGGGGAAAGTAAACAGTCACTACCCTGTCAAAACTGTGGTTGTTTGTTTGAGCCCTGCTCGTTGCAAGATGTGATTGACTCCAATCTTAATTGACAATGATAACTTGTTTTACCGCAGAAGGTTTATGGTTCTCTCCGGGTACTTCGGTTTCCTCCACCAATTTGATAAGAGTATCTTCTCATATTTTATGTATATATTTTCTTAAATATTGCTTTTCATTGTATAATTCTTACGAATGTATACATTTTCCATACATGTAGCTTAAAAACAAACTCGGAGACCTAAAACATTTATTATATTTTTGAAATATTGAAAAAGATATAAACTTTATTTTGGCAAAAAGAGGCGGACGATACCAAGGGGACATTCAAAACTCATAAGTTGAGATAAACTGACGACGCCACCAAGGGGACATTCAAACTCATAAGTCGAGATAAACTGACGACGCCACCAAGGGGACATTCAAAACTCATAAGTCGAGATAAACTGACGACGCCACCAAGGGGACATTCAAAACTCATAAGTCGAGGTAAACTGACGACGCCATCAAGGGGACATTCAAAACTCATAAGTCGAGATAAACTGACGACGCCACCAAGGGGACATTCAAATCTCATAAGTCGAGATAAACTGACGACGCCATCAAGGGGACATTCAAAACTCATAAGTCGAGATAAATTGACGACGCCATGGCAAAAAAAATTGAAGACGACGAAATGACAAACAAGATCATAAAACACTACATACTAAGCAACATAAACAAATAAAAAACTGTGGTTGATCTCAGGTGCTCCGGAAGGGAAAGCAAATCCTGCTCCACTAGCGGCTCCCGTCTAGTTGATCATTGTAAGTACAAATTCGGCGATGAGTCTCATTCTGTGTAATTTTTGATAAAGTATGAAAAGATTCTGTAATTTTATGTTGCTACTCTCTCATACTGTCTTGCATTGATCTTACATTTTTGGTGTAAAAATATAGGTTAACAATTTTTTTTAATACTTGTTTTTTATTTATCTGAATGACTTTGATAAACTTCTGTCTTTATTAATACATGCGATGTTTTTATGAAAGAATTCTGCACTTCAATTTTGAATCACTTTGTATATTCTTAACAGCGGCAATGGAAATGAAAGGTACAAACCATACAAACAAGGAACATCGTGTCAAGATTGCCAACAAGGACGTTGTGTTAACAATTTATGTGGTAGGTACTTAAATTTCAACGTAGTTAAAATAACTGTCTTTCCATGTGGGCGATGATTAGGAAATAATTCATGGGAGCTTGAATTAATATTGTACTGTCAATTCAAAAATTATTGCGAGGTTTTTATTAGTGCGACTGGGTTAGTATCGCAATAATTAGAACTCGCATTCTGATATCTGATATATGCGTCTGTATGAAGGATGTTCTTAAATCGCAATAATTTGTCTCGCATTATTGTCCATTCTTCATAAATCGCAATAATAAATGGACGCAATAATTTCTGAGTTTACAGTATTTCTAAGATTGAAATTTAATCACAAGTTGGCGTTTTAGCAATCTGATTAAAATACAGCTTGGACACATGATATTGTAAACAAAGCTTGGACACAGGATCTTGTAAGCAAAGCTTGGACACAGGATCTTGTTAGCAAAGCTTAGACTCAGGATCTTGTAAGCAAAGCTTGGACACAGGATCTTGTAAGCAAAGCTTGAACACAGGATCTTGTTTGCTAAGCTTGGACTCAGGATCTTGTAAGCAAAGCTTGGACACAGGATCTTGTTAGTAAAGCTTGGACTCAGGATCTTGTAAGCAAAGCTTGGACACAGGATCTTGTAAGCAAAGCTTGGACACAGGATCTTGTAAGCAAAGCTTGAACACAGGATCTTGTTAGCAAAGCTTGGACTCGGGATCTTGTAAGCAAAGCTTGGACACAGGATCTTGTAAGCAAAGCTTGAACACAGGATCTTGTAAGCAAAGCTTGGACACAGGATCTTGTAAGCAAAGCTTGAACACAGGATCTTGTTAGCAAAACTTGGACTCAGGATCTTGTAAGCAAAGCTTGGACACAGGATCTTGTAAGCAAAGCTTGAACACAGGATCTTGTAAGCAAAGCTTGGACACAGGATCTTATAAGCAAAGCTTGGACACAGGATCTTGTAAGCAAAGCTTGGACACAGATCTGTATTTCAACCAGATTGGCGTTTTAGCTTCTACTCACAAACAACTGAATTCTAAACCTTATGTCACATTCATTAAACAAAACATTAACACCAATTTTAGTGATATCGATAGAGCATTTTAAAAGAGTGACAATGTGACAATTCACAACAAGATTTTTAGATAGTCTCTCTGACCGTGCTACGTTTGCCTCGAATGGGTTGTACATTTTTGCAACATGGGTTATACTATCTTTTAAAAGATATGTGTATATAGTTGAAATAATAATAATTTTGTAGTTCCCTATGTTTGAATACACGCGTGGTTTATTGTTTACACCAGTCATTAAAATCTTTATTTTTGTACCATAACATTATATTATATTCGCAAATTTGAACATATTACAGCGTGGAACTCAAATATATAATTCATCTTTTGGATATCAGAAGTTAGTCACATTACTGATTTGGGTAGATGAAAATAGTTGTGTATCTTGTAGATGCATCCCTGAAAATAACATTGAAAACTTCAGAAACATACAATATTAATTTTATAATAGTATTTAGTTTGTACCTCTCTGTCAATAGTATTTACGAAATGGGACACTTAAGCAAATTTTGTAAAGCTTTACAATCACGAATGTTTGAGTCAAATTGTCTCTAAAACTATGGATAATGGAAAATTGTTTATGATTTCGCTTCAGATTCCATTATTTATATTTTAAGGTTAAATAAGTAATAAAAAATTTCCCGAACGCATATTTTTAGAAGAACCAAATATATTGGTCACATTTTAAAACCGAGTAATAATTACAGATAAGTCAAGCGTGTCTTGATATATATGTTCGTGCTTCTTTAGATCACTACATGTACTTGTTTGAAATTGTTCTTTCGGATTTTATGCATTATGAAAATAAAACTATTTTATTTGTCATTCTAATATGACTTTCTTCTTTCGCTTTGAAAACAAAGCCATATTCTAATTCCAATATAACATGGGCTGCACGTGATTGGCGGCACAATTGAAATTGCAACGTCAGTTGTATTTAGAACAACGCCGGAGATCAAAATGAACATTTTTGTTGGTGTTTCTCGGTAGGAAATTAAAAACAATCATTCTAAAAGTAAGTTTACATGTATCTGTTCATTTTTTATTGTGAACCAGTTGATTTTCTTTAATGTTTTGGCTTCATCACAAATCAAAATGGTTGCCTGTCGAACGTGTATTATAGGTCCGCTTCGAAGTACAAAAGTTCTAAAATTTCCTATTAGAATCGAAACAATTCTATCATGCCCATTTTGACATTGGTTGGCATTACATTTGTCAACATTTTTTTACGACTAGCTTACGCTCTGTATAAAGATATTGAAAAATGTAATGCCTACCCATGTTAAATGAGCATGGCATGAAATAATTATTTCTTAAACAAAACTCATCAATAATGATCAAATTCACAACAAACGTGATTAAACATTAAAAGAAGGTGGTATGATATGATTGCTAGTTAGAAACTATCAATAAACCAAAACACAAGCAGGTGAACAACTTTGTGTAATTTTTTTTGTCAAAGCTTTCAACATAGTACGCTGTACCAAAACTGTATTGTGTACATATCTTTAAAAAACTATTAGATGTGGTATGATTGCCAATGAGACAACTATCCACCAGAGACCAAATGACATAGAAATATGACTTGCATTACATAACTGGTATTGTCTTTTAAGATTGCGATAAGATTTGTTTGAATGGTGGAACGCTTGATATATCAACTTGTACATGCAATTGTAAAAAAGGTTATACTGCTCCTGATTGTTCATGTGAGTATTAACATTTATAACAGAAAAGAAACAAAAGGCGCATATATTTAATGACAAAAAAATTCTTTACAAACGACTTTCATTGATGTTCTTCATCTCAACGTCACAGTGAGGCTCAGAAAAAGTAACAAAAGCTAATCATTCATTGCAAGTTATTCAGCGCAGTATTATAAATTATACCGATATTATTCATGCATGATATTTTAATGTATGTTCTTTTATGCACCTATTCCGCTGATAGAGATTTAAAAGGAGGGAAAATGAGACGCGACGAAACTAGTTAACCCTGCAACATGTGAACTGGCAGGTCACAAGTCAGGAACTTTGTCAGCCAGTTGTCTTTTATCATTTATTTATCATTTCGGGAATTTTGATTTGGCGGCGAATCCTGATAGTCTAGAAAGAATTTGATGTGGTATTTTTCAACTATTCAAGTAAAAAGGAACATTTTCCTTTCATTAGAAGGCAAAATCCCTTTTTTAATTGCAACGTCACTGAGATTTGATGCCAGAGAATTTGAAACGGAATATTGCCTTCGCTATCCATGAAAACGCTACAGTGTTATCTTTTAAAAATATTCCATTTTAAAAGAAAATTGCTGTTAAGGTTGTTTAGAAAATGATGTTTCTTTATGTAACACATTTTATAAACTTCCATTCCTCTTCACGTTTTAATTACCTCATAAAATGGTGGCGATGCAGTACCCTACATGACGATTTACGGTAAAAATTGTGAAAATAACGGCATTCGATACACAATTTACACATGACGCTAATGGTAGCTCAAAAATAGGAAGTGACGAATGACGACATTTGTTTAGATTCATTTGACGCTAATGGTAGCTTAAAAATAGGGAGTGACGAATGACAACATTTGTTAAGATTCATTTGACGCTAACAGTAGCGAAAAAGAGAGTTTTTCTACGTTTGCCGATTAAAATCATTTCTATCCTCATTAAATGTATTATTCTGGGTATTCTTACATCGATACACATCTGGTACGAAACATTGATTTTCATATCTCTTCTGACAGAAACAACGAAAAAAGAGAGAACCAGAAAAAAGACTCCGATTTCTTAGACATAGAGGTTTAGGTGCTGTTTTGTTTAGTGACTTAATTGGTCGTATATTTTTCCTTAAACATTTCTTGAGCTGAGATACAAGTAATATTTAGTTCTTTCTCACAACCATACACGTTACGCTTTATTGAAATACTATAGCTGTCATGAATTCAGAATGATGCAACCAAGGAACATCAATAAACTATACAATTAGATCTACTTCTTTTTTAATTTTCAAAATATTTTTACAAAGAAGGAGGCTTTCTTGCACTTCTTAAATGAATGTTTTTTTTTCATATAAACTAGATATTTTAAGGGACGGCAGCATTTTTTTTTATATATATAAATGAGAATTTTTACATGTTTTTAGTCAAAACATATATTGATTTTTACAGCACAGTTATGTGAACTTAAGGAAATTGATAGAAATTATGAGTTTCATGGTGTACTTCAATTTGTTATAAAAATGTTAAAAATCACACCAGAAAAAAACCTTATACTTGGTGTATATTTATAGTAAACTGTACACAGAAAGCCGACTCAAGTGGTTGTATTTCCTGGGGCGCCAGTAAATGTAACACGCACGGAAATGTTCCCATGGACTGTCCACACATGTGCAATATCTGTCCAAGTAAGTAACGTAAATTATGTTAAACTTAAATGATGAAACTTTTTTGTAATGTTTATATTGCTAACTTTCATCTATCTTTTTTTCGGGTTTGAGAATGAGCTTCTTATTTAAAAAAATTACACAAATTAAGTTGACAATAGTTTATAGATGTTAAAATCTCGTAAATCGACTTGGAAGAGACAAACCAAGGAAATAAATAAAAACTGAGAGAATCGCATGAACTCCAAAAGGAGCGAAAAGGGTGCGTCGACAGGGTAAGCGTCTCCTGCAAGGCATGAATCACCCGACCTGCGAATTCACACAAACGCGTAATTAAATTTGCATTTGAAATACTGTTATATTGGACACATGATGTTCTAAGGTGTTTATGTAACCCTATACTTGTCTTCCAACACACACACACACACACAATAACATTGCCCTTCAATACAATAACATGTTTCATTTCTTAAACTCTGGAGTTCTACTGTACTTAAAAACTGTTTGCCTTTTAAACCTGCAAATACAGTTATGTAGTTTGAAGGCATCGACAAACATTATTTAATTAACGACATGTGTTTATTAATCATTTACCTACTGGGGGACCTAATTTTATTTCTTTTAAGTAAAACTGTTTCATCACCAACAACATATCTGTAAAGTGCCTTTTCTGTAGACCGTTTACATATGGTAAGTTGCCGAACAAAGGATAACAATTCTGCATATATAAAGAAAGAATTAAACAAGCACTGTTAAAGTCAACAAAAATCATACAAAAAAGTAAAATAACAAAAAATACCGAACTCCAAGGAGAATTCAAAACGGAAAGTCTCTCACCAAATGTCAAAATCATAAACTCAAACACATCAAACGAATGGAAAACAAGTGTCATATTCCTAACTTGGTACAGGCATTTCCTTATGTAGAAAATGTTAGATTAAAACTTCAAAGCGTTGTTTCACTAGATCTTCATGTTTCATTTTAGTAAACAATAGTATATAAATGTTTGATGTAATAAGATAGATTTAACATTATATTATAACATAAGATAGATTTAAGATTATATTATAACAAAATATTTTACTGCAGGTAGTGGTGTTGATGTTGTTGGAGTATCGGATGGGAAAGGAGTGTTCAATTTCGATGTTTTAACAACTGACGGAGGCGGATCAGGAGGAGTCAGTCGAGTCGTAAACCAAACAAACATCATACGTCTTATAATTACACTTTCATCAATAATGTTTCTCATATTATGATTTTTGCCTTTCTGTAAGCTCATACTTTAAATGTATGCCTCTGTAGTATATTTGGCTTTTTTTACATGTCGTCGCCTTTATCATCATGCGTTTCCAACCTCTAAATGAAGCTATTTTAGAGCATCTAATATATATCGACCTTATCCTCAGTCGACAGCTTATTTGATCCAGAGGTCCAGCTAAAGTGACTACCCGTTGCAAAAAGAAAATTTTTGGTTACCTCACAATTTTTTTGGGAATTCTATTAACTGTGACGCCTAAGAAATATAAAAAATTGCACAAGTTATGAAATGACACACTTATAGACATGTTTGGAATAATAAAAAAAATAAAGATTCGGAGTATTGAATCCAACTAGCGAACTCGTAGTATAGTATTATTATTGTACTGTAAATTATTGTGATATAGTAACAAAGGAGTAGGGGCATTTAGGCCCGGTTTTGGCCCAAGAAAAACAAATGTTTGACAACTATTTCAAATTGGCACATAAGGTTTGGAAATGCATAGAGTGAAGAAATATAAATGAAAAACATAAGATTGTTTATATGATTACGTCACAGTTACGTCATAATATGTACCGTTTTCATGAAAAAGATGAAAAATGCAGAATTTGTGCAATTTCCCATCGTTATTTCCATTACGGAAACATCGTGCGCAGCCAAGAAACAATAAAATAATTTAAGAGAAGCTTTATTATAACTATTGAAATGATCTCACCAAATATAAAGTTGTTTCTTGGGTGCGCACATACTTTGCCAATCTTAAATATACTTAGAATTTGATGAAAAACAAGGAAATTCAAGAAATTTTATAAAATATACAAATTTCGTCATGGTTTGTTGCCATGGTAGCTCGTTTAATGTGAAATTTGTTTTTATTTTCTGAAAACCTTGTACCTTAGTCTAGTTAGGACAAATTTAAGGATATGTATGATAACTTTTAAATTTGCAGTAATATTTGGGCCAAATAAGGGGCTTATTGCCCCTGCTCCTTTGTTTTATAGACCAATCTCGAGTTACACCGATTGACCCGATGTCAATTGGCGCGAATGAAGTCATTGAAAATCTGTTCTAACTGTGATGTAATAACAATAGCATTTTGACATAGGAAATGTACGGGAAAGTGCACGAATTTGAATGTTGTCTATTATAACTTGTTAAAAAAAATCTTTCTTTATTTACGTGAATGCGTCTCTGATCACCTTTTTGTCATATATTTCCCCCTCTTTCTCGCCCTGCTTTTAAGTAATAACTGTTGTTAATTATTGTTTTGTTATTATATATCTTTCTTATACTTATTAAATTATTTTTATACTATACTTAGTTATGCTTGAGAGTTCTTGTATTGCTCTTTGTACCTTTTTAACACCGACCGGTCAAAATATGGTTATTTCAAAAGGACAGCTACTTATATTTTACGGCGAAGTCAAGATCGATAACATAGAAGGTTTTGAGAAAATGAAATGTTTCGGTAATATTGCTAACTTTTTATAGATCCCTGGCATTCCAATATTTATTCTGAGCGTCCATGAGAAAGATTGATCCAGAAAAGCGCTTCAGACGCATGAAATCTATTAAATATCATTAACTAATTAGATTATTGAAATATTTCAAAATCATGATAAATAATATTGTACTCCTCATGTAATCCAAAAATTTAGCAATTGTTTTTGAGTATTTGAAAGTATTATTGTGCAACTTAAATAAAATTCTGATGCATACATATGGCTTTAAATGTATTTATTATGATATAAACACCTGCTGTTTAGTATGCTAATTTTAACATTCCCGTATGATAAAACAAGTAGTAATTGACATATCGGGTCAAATGGACCTCATCTTCATTAATTATTTGTTAAATGCAAACTTGCTTATACTTTAAATATCCACCATTTTCTACATTTGAAAATGCCTTTACCAAGTCAGGAATATGACAGTTGTTGTCCATTCGTTTGATGTGTTTTATCATTTGATTTTGCCATTTGATTAGGGACTTTCCGTTTTGAATTTTCCTCGGAGTTCAGTATTTTTGTGATTTTACTTTTTTTTGGACATTCTTCATTTGACAATGATGATAAATTCACAGAAAAGAAGAACAAACCTGAAGAACCTTCTCCATAAAAAAAACCCCACAAAAATACGGTAGTGAACTTCAAAAGATAAAGAAAATTTTGGGTAAATATTGATATGACTTCATTAAAAAAACAATAAATGCATGCATGGTGTTTATATATCTTCAACTTGTACGATTCGCTCGTGTATGTAACAACGTATTAGATTTTAGCGAGAGAAATATATGTATTACTGAAAAATTATTACACCAGGGTTTTCGATATCATAAACTAGTCAAAACATTTACTAAATTTTATCATCGGTATAAGGACATCATTCGTAAATATAACTCATCATGCAGACATCTTATACGTTCGGGTATTTCACATCCAATATTTTATGGTAATATTCTTTACAAAGCACAAAAATGTCAGTATTCACCCCAAAAGCTAACAAACCCTTTAAACAGACTTATTAAGAAGGGATATAGTTACGATACTGTTGTCAGGTTATTAAAGATTGCATATTTTGGCTTTAATATTGATTCATTTATAGGGTCTTTGCATCGGAATTAAACATATTTATTCTAAAACCAGTTGTTGGCATGACACGGGTTATGTTCTTCTCATATATTTTATGATGGTATAATACTAAACCCCTAACAGGAGGGATTGTGCCTGATATTCATATGACGAAGACATAATCTTTCAATCAGTTTAATTGAGGTCTGGAGCTGGCATGTCAGTAACTGCTAGTAGTCTGTTGTTATTTATGTATTATTGTCATTTTGTTTATTTTCTTTTGTTTCCTATTCTGACATCGGACTCGGACTTCTCTTAAACTGAGTTTTACTGTGCGTACTGTTGTACGTTTTTTTTACATTGGCTAGATGTATAGGGGGAGGGTTGAGATCTCAAAAAACATGTTTAACCCCGCCGCATTTTTGCGCCTGTCCCATGTCAGGAGCCTCTGGCCTTTGTTAGTCTTGTATCATTTTTAATTTTAGTTTCTTATGTATAATTTGGAGTTTAGTATGACGTCCATTATCACTGAACTAGTATACATATTTGTTTAGGGGCCAGCTGAAGGACGCCTCCGGGTGCGGGAGTTTCTCGCTGCATTGAAGACCCATTGATGGCCTTCGGCTGTAAAGTGTTGTCTGCTCTATGGTCGGGTTGTTGTCTCTTTGACACATTCCCCATTTCTATTCTCAATTTTAATAATAATTTTACCAAATTTTGACTTTTTTGTCATTTATGGATTTACGTGTTCTGTCATTTCTTCGATAATCCCATTTAAATCAATTCAAAACATCTTCAGACGCGATGGGAATAAGGAATTGACGTATTGGATAAATAGCTTTTTATGATTGAAGACCGTATGTTGATCTCTCTAGATGTTTTATTTCTGTTGCTGGGTTGACGTCTCTTTCACGCTTAGCCAACATCTTAATTTATTACGGATTTATTAAATAATGTGACAAAAGGATATCTATAAAACACATCCTTCATTATACCCCATGCAACAAAGTTGCGTCGGGTATAATGTTTTTTACCCGTCCGTCCGTCTATGTTTGCTATGAGTTATGCCCCTTTGAATTTACAATTTTGGCCCAAATATACTACTGCAACAGTTTGTCATTGCAACTCCTCTGAAACCACGAAAAAGAATTTCATGAAACTTTGTAGTTAGTGAGGACATAATATGTAGATGCGCATATCCATAAGACATTTTACCAGGATACAAATAAAAACAAGAAGATTTGGTATGAGTACTTATGAGACAACTCTCCATCCAAGTCACAATGTATAAAAAGTAAACAATTTTAGGACAAAGTACGGCCTTCAACACGGAGCCTACAAAGTCATCTTTGTTTCAAGGAGACCTCTGGAAAAGCCAAATCAATGATGAATATCCACAAAATTTTTTTATCAGTTGACTTTGTGGGCAATGTGGGGAAGTGGGGTATGTGATCGTGCTCACAACGCTTCTTTAATTTGAAAAAGTCATTTATGAAGGAAGTATTTGCTTTGCGATTATCTTAATCATCTCTTATATCTACTTGAATGACTTGTACTCTTTATTAATCTGTGGACAGTATTCTTGAAACTAAACTGTTGAGTTTTATACTAAATGTTTGTCAGAAATGATATAACTTTGATAAGTAATACAAGAATCGATAATCAAAGAAAAAAAAGCTATTAAGATCAAGTTTCAAGGGAATTTTTCAATTGGGATATTTTTCTAACCAGAATTTTATTGTCTATAAGCCTAGTATCCTAAACCAGTGAAAGTCTGAAATGCGTAATATTACACTGAACTGAAATGATTTTACTCGATTATTCTGAATTGATCTGTTTTTAAGGGATTTATGAGAATTGATCATCGGTCAATATAGTCAAAAGTAATGTACCGATTTACAAATCTCAATAATTGATTAAGAAGTAAAATAACAAAAATACCGAGCTCAAAGTAAAATTCAAAACGGAAATTCCCTTATCAAATGGCAAAATTAAAAGCTCAAGCACATTAAAAAGATACGAATCAGTGTAACAAGCAAACCTAGCGAATCGCAGGTACTCAAAAGAGGGAAGATCGAGTGCGTCAGCGGTGTAAACTACTGTTGCTACTACGTTTACTCGTTATGACTCCACTGTGACTTGAACCATACGTATAATCTGAACATGTACGTGACCTTTACTGGCCCAGTTCTCAACTACTTCATGAAATCTCGACGATACTCGAGATAATCGCTATTTTTAGGTCTTTTTTGGTTATATATCTCTTTAACTGTTTTGGTTCTTATACATCATTGGCTTTTTAATTATTCGAGCGTTCCTAATGAAGGTGAATCCAGAAATGCGCTTCGGACGCATGAAATTTATAACGTGTTGTTTTCATTTTTTTCGACTTAAGTCTGAATCATACTTGACAAATCTTAACTTTTGGTAAACCAAGTCTAAACCATACTGTACAATGGAATAAAATAGCGAGACAGGTGTAAAGGGTAGTGATAAACTTGTATTCTTTCTTTTTGTCATCTTAAAAATCTTAAATGTCAAACCATCAATTTGCAAATGTATTCGGTACAATAACCATTGTCAACTATGTATAAACAAAAATGTATGCTTGGCCTTTCTGTATATTTCTTTATATAAGAGTCTAAAAAACCAAGGTGAACCAGCACATTTAATAAGTACCGGATCGACTGAATGGGACGATACTGTGCAAACAGGAAACAACATTAAAAGTCTAAAGATTTGAGTAATTCCATATAAAAGTGTATTGATCAGTGAGTTTAACAATGCTACCTGTTGGAATAATAAGCAAGTTTCAATCCAGGTGACCCTGTAATTCACTGTCACATACGGACCTTGATGCTTCGTATTTGTACTACAATGATACCAATGTCATCTTTGGTTCAAGGTGACCTTTGGAAAAGGTAAATCAATGATACATGTAGATGAAAATAATTTTTTGTTTCACAATTGACTTATAAATTGAACGTTTCAATACTAGCACTGGGTCTATATTGTTGCTGATGGGTTGTTATTCCTTCAGGCTATCATGGTATCATCAGCTCAATAGTCAGTGATTCGGTACTGACAAGATTTTAATATAACATATAATTATTTAAAATTCCCCGTTCATAAATGAAGAAATTGTTAAGAAACTCACATAAAGGTCCAAACTCCCTAAGACAAAGTTGACCTTAGATGAAATTGGTTATTCTGTTAAGGTTCTTCTTGGTCATATAGCTCCTAACGTTGCGGCGTATTTACGCACCCCTGGAATTCAAATGTTTATGTATGAGCAGTCCTGAGGAAGGTAAATCAACAAAAAACGCTTCGGCGCACGAACTTTATAAAAATTCTTTCATTTACATTTATAATATTTATATAAAAAAGTAGAACAACAAAAATACCGAACTCCAAGGAAAATTCAAAACGGAAAGTCCCTTAACAATTGGCAAAATCAAAAGCTCAAGCACACCAAACGAATGGAAAACAACTCTCATATTCCTGACTTGGTACAGTCATTTTCTTATGTAGAAAATGGTGGATTAAACCTGATTTTTAAGTAGCTAAACCTCTCACTTGTATGACAGTCGCATAAAATTCCATTATATTGACAACAATGTGTGAACAAAACAAACAGACATAATAGGTAAAAAATTCAAAAATAGGGGAACAGCAGTCAAGATTGTGTTATAATCTAAATCACTATAACAACAAACAAATATGTCAACAAAGAAAAACAAAATGGC